CTTTTAAATATATTAAATTTTTGAAATAATTTTAAATTTTAATTTCAGAAAACTTATTTTTCAAAAATATGTACTTTAAATATTTTAGGAACTCAATATATTTCGAACTTAAAAAATTCTTAAATTTATCTTTAAGATACACTTTATAAACCCTTAAAGTCAATTTTGCTAAAATTGTAGTATTATATTTCAACATCACTACAAGTATTACTTACTTACATATCATCTAATAGCTAGTCCAAACAGCATGAGACTTACCTGAAAAAAAAAACAAGAAGGAAAATTAAAATATAAGAAATACTTGGAATTACTACGAAACAATTCATTGGAAAGCTGTTATTGATAGAAATAAATTATAATAACTATAAAACAATTTTTCATTACATGCAATAAATATATAAAAACGGTCCACAAGAATAACCTTCATATTGATAAAAATGCACATACACACTTGTTTATAATAGTATTCACGCAGACTACTCAATATAATAGCACCCATTCAGTTTGTTGACCCACTTATAGGTAAGATCTTCACACACTTCACTTCAACACAAAAAAATAACTATTTTCGCAGCCAACAGCTAATGAACTCACGGCGCGACTCTCACCTTTGCGCTCTGAAAACGAACTTCAGCACGGAGATCGCACATGAATGCCTGCAACAAGGTAGCGCACACTTTGTTGATGAGCCTGAGAGAGTCCTATATGCTATAATGGAGAGAGAGTAGAGTGATGCAATTGCAGTTTTGTGTAAAAGAGAGACTGACTGGAAATGTTCTATAGAGAGCAGGCGCAGTCAATTGTGTTTTCACCAAAGGCTAGACATGGAAACGCTGACAGTCTGCCATAAGAGGTTTTCCCAAGCAAATACAGTGACACACGAATATGATCTGTAATAGCGAATGCCAGAATTTCGTAGTAATGATTTTTAATTTTTTGAGGAAACACAATTTGGGGATTTCTTCATAAAATAAATTATTTAAAAAATACAGATTATTTATATACCACATATTTATTTTATAGTGTCACACAAACTGACCGATCAAAATTAAGATAAAGATATTTTACCCCCTTTAGGTTATTATTCACCAGTGAAGGCTGTTATAGTTTTCGTTCGGCAAGCTGAAATCACTTTTTATTGTTAAAATATATTTTATTCGAAACTTAAAAGCAATAACTTTTATTAAAAAAGAAATGTTAAGCATAAGCCATGAATGCTGAATATCCTTGCAACAAAAGCAAATAATGCACCAACTTCTAAAGCATTACTTCCGAAACACTCCTTCATCTTGTTAAGCTCCTTCAAAGCTCTCTCTAAGTAACTGTAAATGAGTTTAAAAAGAGGATGAAAATAGGAAACTTTAATTAAAGTCAACTAACAAGTGACCGAATTCGAAGTTGAAGCTGTGTCACTTACACGACAGCTGCACGCACACACACTTATACAAGCATAGATAACCATAACCATGTGGATCAGAGTCAGAGCGCCATCACCTGAGTTTAGCCGATGTTGTTGAGCTAATTTTTGTTTCTAAATATTTGTATATGCATTTTCAGTTATATAATTTGTAACAGTATCAACAAACGCTAACAATATAAAGAGTTTGTAAGATCTAATAGGGGCAAATTTGGAGGGAAAGAGGCGGCTGGGCATAGCAAAGGTATTAAGTGGAGGAACTTGTTAAGTCTCTGACATGTAATCCGTCAACAAGCTAACGAACTAAGTTTACGAAATGTAACAAGCAACAACAACAAAAGGAGCGGTGGAAGCCAATAGTATACAAGGATATCACGTTATGGCGACAAAGGTGGATTTAGTCAAACAAGCAGTGAAGAAGCAAGGCAGCAAAAGAAGTAGCAAAAAAAACCAAAACTATTAACTTCGGCTGCACCGAAGTGCTAATACCCTTCACAGGTGCAATTTTTTATAGCCTGATAGCTCAGTTTGTATGGTGGCTATATGCTATAGTTGTCTAATCTTAGCAATTTGTTCGAAGAGTGTAGCGTTGTCTTAAACTATAATCTGTGCAAAATTTCGTGAACATATCTCGGCAACTGAAAAAGTTTTCCATACAAAAACTTGGTTTTGATCGGTTAGTTTATATGACAGCTATATGTTAGAGTGCTTCGACATGGGCGGTTCCGACATATGAGCAGCTCCCTGGAGAAAAATGGAAGTGTGCAAAATTTTAGAGCGATATCTCATAAACTGAGGGAGTAGTACCCGAATTTACACACTGACAATCGACTTAGCTTGTCATGCTGATCATTTATATATACACTTTATGGGGTCTCCGAAGTTTGTGGGTGTTATATATGCCCTGAACAGGGTATATAAATGCTGGTAAGTTTATGTGTATATATATGTGTGTATATATATGTGTCTAAAGTTGCGGCTGATTTAAGACGAAGTAAACTTCGTTGCGCAGCTTCATTTGCATATAAATGCTTGGGTGCCACAAACAATTTACAGCAACTGAGTGGACCAGAGGGGCGCGCTGACAGCAGTAAGCTGTTTCACACACACATATATATGTTTAGGTATAGACACATACATATGTATATACACATTTTAGTAAACTCGCTTGTGTTGCAGTCGCACCTTTATGGCGGAGTTTGTCGCTGACAGATGAGCTGCACTACAAATGTTGATGATGATGTTATAACTAAAAGTTGTTGTTATTCTTGTTGTTATTGTCATGGTCGTTGAATTATTTTCGTCACCACTGCGCAGCTGTTGTTGCTGCACAACTTGTGGCAAGCGTCTTAGCGGCAATGGCAATTCCCAGCAGCAACCGTATGCGGACGACTAGGCGAACAAGTAGCGGATTTGGCATAGCGCTTGGTTACAAGCATAAATAATACATACATATGTACATACACTGAGGTGAGTGCGCAGCTTGTATGCGTCTAAGCATGCGAGGGTGTGTGTGTGTGTTGTTGTAATGGAGTTGCTGACAAATATCGCATTATCTCATGCGTCGCCGCTGCCGCTGAAGATGCGGTTGCTTGAGTTTTTCCTTGAATTTTGGCTCTCAGCCAAATTGTGTGGGTGCTCCAGTTCTACACACATACACACATATACGTATATGTAAATATTTATAGCCTTGTTGCTGTTGCTGACAGTCATGACACTCTGGTGGCACTGGCAATGACAGTGGCACTGAGAATGCGTTCCGCGGCAAATGGGTACACACACACATAAACACATCTAAATATGCACTTGCATACAATTGCTTACTTAAGTAATAAGCATCCACACATCTATAAATATGTTCGTTTGTATGCATGTGCATATAGCGGTAAATTGTATATGCAAATGTTAATCAGGTGTGGAGTGCAATTGAAATGCGGAAAGTAAATAGGAATTGCAGATGACCTCGAGGGTAGGACCCCACATTTGCGCATGTGGGAGGGCGTTGCGTTTCAAGGGGTTCACACACACACACACACGACAGACAGTTAATAATACCGTTATAATATGCTTTTACACATACAAAGAAGCTCATTATGCATTGCATAAATATTTTAGCAAACTGCTTTTAAATTCTAGTATTGTTAATATAATCAGGTAAGTGCTGCTTTTGAGACAGCACAAGATAAGTTGAAAGTTAACAGAATCTTTAGCTAATTAAAATGGAGAATTTACTATTTAATATAATGGCGAATGTAGGTATAAAGAGAAAAATGCAACAAAAATTTTGTAATTTAAGGGCGTAAATTAAGAAAAAAATATATATAAAAAAATGTATATATAAAAAATAATTTTTTTTATATATCTAAAATTTACATACTATAATGTGAAATTAATTTTTTAAATCCTTTTTGAGCTACAGGCTTATAAAATATAGCCGGTCATCAATCACCTTTATCAGTTTATCTTTAAACGCGTTTTTCTCGAAAAAATCATTTTTCGAATTTGCTGCAATGATTACTCAGCGGCAAATGATCCGTTTACTATTAAAATTTTTTATGCATACTGTATAAGTTCTATTACAAGTTCAGCCCGTTATTTAAATGAAATTATTATAATTTTTTTTATAAAATTAGTTTTTTTTAATAATGCATACACTAAATGTGCGATGTATTGTACAAAATTGTATTCATAATGATCAACTTTTGCTTTAACACAAGCCCTCAAACGATTTGGTCATTGATTTATAATAGCACGCTCAGTTTCTGTTGATATTGACGACGCTGCTCGAACGAAAGATCTGATCACAAACTTTAGTCGAGTGGATTTAAATGTGGACTACTAGACGGCCAATCATCTGCAGCTAGAAACCAGAAATATTGCTTTTAAGCCACTGATGGCTGGTTTTTTAACTTGTGTGCTGTGCTGATGCAGAATCTTGCTGGTAGATCCAATGTTCTCCATCGAAGAGATTGCTTAAGTGCATTACAATGCCTTCAAAAGCATCCTGCATCCTGCTGGTATACTTTTTCTCCAGGTTTAACCCCCTTTCTACGAAAGTGAAGAGGTGTAACGCCTTACATATAGTGGACTCTCCACCAAACCATTACAGCAGCTGAATAGTGACTATGTTGAGTCCCTGGTAAAATACTTTTTGTGTATTTCGAAATTTTTGCGTAGGTTTGGTCGTTTTGCCTATTAAAATTATCTTCAACAGTGAAAAATTTTGCGTCTGTAAAAAGTATACTTTCATGCGTGCCACGGAAGAAGACGCTTGCATCTCTTGAGTTTAATTTGCTTCAAGTGTGTTGTCAGGTAATGATCAGTTGACCGACGGTAGACCTTAGAAGTGCAAATTATCTCGAATAAGTCTTGGTATTGATCTGGTCGACATATCCATTACCCTTGACTTAATTTTCTGTTATCTAAAGGGACTTCTGCGAATTCGTTCGTGAACACTTTCTATGGCTGATTTGCTTCGAACCACACGGCGACTTCTCGTTCTTACTTTTTTCGACTATACAAATAATATCTTCTAGTCGAGAATGATCACTAAGTTTCACGGAGAAGACCGGTATCCCTGCAGCAGTGTATGACTTTTTCCTAGCACCTTCAGAGATCGCGTTCTACTCGAATAACACTGGTCTGCAAAAAAAAAAATTTGTTTTCTCCTTCTGGTTTTCATGCATGAATTCTTTATATTTTGTGCTCTAAACACGGAATTCGACATACAAATAAGTACCACACGTAGATTTTCCATAAATTATTTATTTAATTAAAAAACAGAATTATTAAGGTATCAATTATTATTATAAGAAAATTAAAAAATATTACGGTCCAAGTTTTACAGTGAAAAATCTTAAAGTATGATTTTATGATGATAAGATGATGTTATTTTGTAGTTTTTTTCCTTTTCATTGTTTCCATTGGAGTTTCTCGGGGAAGTGACCAACAGAAATCAGCAAGCATTGCTGCTGACCATTTCCCATTGTAGCGTTTTTCAATCTGCATTATATCTTGATGAAACCTTTCACCATGCTCATCTGATACGGCTCCAAGATTTTCAGGAAAGAAATCCAAATGTGAGTCCAAAAAATGAATCTTGAGTGACATATTGCATCCTAAAGATTTATAAGCAGAAAGAAGCTCCCGAATGATTTGTCGGTAGTTGTCAACTTTGGTATTCCCAAGAAAATTATGACACACTTTCACAAACGCCACCCAAGCTCTTTTTTCTGTTTTGCTCAACTTCGATTTAAAAGCTTCATCTTTCATTAGCTCACGTATCTGCGGACCTACAAAAATCCCTTCCTTCAATTTTGCGTCACTGATTCGAGGAAATTTGGTTTTTAAATATTGAAAACCTGCACCATCTTTATTCATCGCTTTCACAAAGTTTTTCATAAGTCCCAACTTTATGTGAAGTGGTGGCAGAAAAATTTTCTCACTTGGGACTAAAGGTTTCTGAGATACATTTTTAAGCCCAGGAGTTAAACTTTTTCTCAGAGGCCAAGATTTTTGTTTGTAATGTAATCTTGCGCGACTGTCCCATTCACAAAGAAAACAGCAAAACTTTGTGTATCTTCCTTGTAATCCAGTAAGTATGGCGACGACTTTTAAATCAGCACAAATATTCCATAGGTATTGAGAATATTGAATTTTTTCAAGTAATACTTCTAGGTTTGCATAATTTTCCTTCATGTTTGTAGCATGTGCAACGGGTACAGATGGGTATTTGTTACCATTATGGAGTAGAACGGCTTTTAAGCTTATTTTCGAAGCATCAATAAAAAGTCTCCATTCACTTGAATCTCCTGGAAAACTCAGTTCTTCAAGAAGTCCTACAGCATCATTACAATATATCACATCATCTTCTTTGGAGAAGTAACTTGTAAAGTCTTCTTGCCTAGGGAACATAAACTTCATGCAAAACTTACCAAAATAATTGATATAGAGGTATAGGTAACGGTGATCAGCATCAGGTGATGATGCTCTCAATATGTAATACATTATTATGACAGCTTAATTATTGTATGTAAGAGAGATAGCAGTAGTGTAACTCTTAGGATAACAATCTTAAGTAGAATATAGGATAACTTAACCCTTAGTTGTACTAATATAAATGAACTTAATATTAACCTGTGAATGCATGAATTAAATAAATTTAAAGATATGTTTAATGTGGGTGTCGCCACATATACACGGCTTGTAACGTAGACACACAAAAAAGTGGAAAAAAACCCATATTTTTGAAATATAAAAAAAAAATTCATATAAAAAAATCTAGACGTGATGGAGAAAATCGGCCAACGGGGATCGATTCAGGACATTTGAATCGTCATATTTATGACCAAATTTTTTAAAGGAGGATTTCATTGCAGACCAGTGTAATATATAATTTTATTCTGCAAAAGTTTTACAGCGTATTCCTAAAGTATAAAATATACCTTTCAACTGTCTGTTTTAGACTGTCACACTAATGGATAATAAAGATGGATTTTTATCAAATTCCTACATTTTTTTTTACAAATATTTTAGAAAATAATATTCTATTATTGCAAATAACCGAACCAATTAAATGACTATTAAAATAATTTAAATGTTTTCTTTTTGACCATTGCTTCAATAATTAAGCTTCTTATAATATTTTGATCCTTTTATTCGCATTTTCAAACATTATTATATAAGCATATTACATTTATATTGAAAATTTGTAGATTATAAAAGAAAAGAAAATTTTTCAACAAAAAAAAAAATTTTTTTTAACATCTAATCTACAAATTTTCCCCTCAGGCTAAGCAAAAAATAATAATTTTTTTCTTTCGCTTCACCTTAATATACATATCGTATATATATTAATACATTATATATTTAATATATTAATGTAATTGAATATAAATATATAAATATGTATGTAAACGTACTTATACAGATATAATATTGAAAAATGTGTAACTATATTCATACAAATATATCTATGTATGTATGTTACTATGTATTTAAATGACAAAAAGTCTTAAAAACGTATTTGGCACGAGTTTTCTTTCTATACCGAAATAAAGTGGACTAAATTTTTTCAAATATAATCTTAAATAGTTGCCGATTTATTTAAATACGTTTGCATACATACAAATATATCCCTTAGCACACCTTTCAACGCATCTTAGGCAACTATTATATTTGTATTTGTAGTTGTGTATGCCTTTAACCAAAATTGGATACAAATACATTTAGTTAGTTTCTCAGTTTTGCTACCGAAAAAGCCAGTGCGCTTACCCACTTTCGCATATACACACACATACAATTGTATATCCCCGAGGGTGCAATAGCGAATGTAAATGTGTGATTTATGATGGCACACTTAAGGATAATTTGCCTTTTAATGCGTATTTTATTCGTGTTATGTTGGCACTGTTCGGCACCAGCAACACACTGCTTCTTTTTATACTCTTGCAACATACTGCTACAGAGTATGATAGTTTTGTTCACCTAACGGTTGTTTGTATCATTCAAAACTAATTGAGATAGGTATAGAGTTATACCTATATATGGGCTATATATGAATTAATCCTGTGCACTAAAAATTTTTTAAAAGTGGGTGTTACTTCGCCAGTTTTCCAATATACAGCACCTTGAGGTATTTCGTTTACGCCCAAAAATTTTCAAAATCGGGCCACAACCTTTGAAGTATTCAGACGCCAAAAACGTAGAACCCAGTGCGTATAGCTGACTTTTTACCGAAAATATCGGTCAATCTGTAAAATTTAAAAGACTTTGTTTCCATTTTTTTTCTTAAATATTGATTGACTAATTTTATTCGGACCTCTTGTACATTATTGAGCATATTTTCGACAATATAGGGTAATTTTTTCAAGCAGGTATATTGAAGCATAAGCCGGTAGCAGAGCTGCCCGCAGAACGTCTTGAGAAAAAAACAATTTGCGGTATTTACCAACTTTTCGAAATTAAAAACCCATACCCCCCTTTAACCCTTTTATTACCAACACCTGAAGGTATTTAGCCGGCTTTGAGCCTTGCAAGTTGCAAAAGTATGGAATCTTCGGTTACACCCGAACTTAGCCCTCCTTACTTGTTTGTTGTTGTTATTGTTGGTGACCATTTGGAGTCCAAATTTCGTTTGTCTGGCTGCCTAAAAACAGCTTATTTTTCTACACAAGTACCGCACGCACACACAGATAAAGACATACATAGCATGCTTATTGTTGTATTTAAGCTGTGTAATGTTGTTGTAAAATAGGCACAAATGATTTATGCGTTTCAGAGCATTTGTGTATATTTTGGTTGGTCTTTTTGTAACATTGGAAGCACAAAATGCCCGAAGCCATTCCAGACGGTGAAACAAGCACACGCACACCTCTGTTTAGACTCGCCGGAAAGCTTGCGCACTAGCTGTTAAAACACACACAAATGCATATACAAGTATGTATACATATTTCAATAGCAAATTCCATTGGGAATAATTTTCGGCGCATTTTGTTGTTCGTTTCAAACGATCAGACAAAGAAATTTATGTGGCTGTACCTTACATAGATTAGTAAATACGTAAACAAATAATATGTACATATGTATGTAAATATATAAAATATGTTTGAAAACTTGTAGTGATGCTTGTCTCTGTAAAAGCGTAATTTGTTATTATGTTATTTTTTTGCGGCGTGCATGTTGCCAGATGTTTGTTTTATTTTTGTTATTGCTCATAATTCAAAGCTTTTTTGTGCGCGTGGTATCTTCGCCCCCAGTGTGGAAAAAAATTAATAATAAACGAACTAACAAATAAAATATGTGTCTTTCTCTGATTGTGCGCGTCGACAGAGCACGTAAATAAATTGCTTGTAATTTTGTCAAATTAATTTTTTCGACTTTTATTTGCTTTCATTAGCACCTCGGCAGATAAAGAGACACGAAGAAATGCAATAAAAATTAATACAATTGCTTTCACCGTGCAAGAGACACAATTTAAATGTCATAAATTTTATGGAGCCATGGTTGTAGAGAGGTGTTACTTTTTAGGTACTAAAAATAAAATATCTTTAACTTTGTAAAATTTCAATGAGCTTGTATACAAACTCAGTTTGTGCTATAATATTAAAATATTCTCTGTACTAAAAATAAATTTTTCAAACGACATTCATATGCAAACATTTTGAGTCAAAATTTTTAAGCTTGAGTACATGGATTATAAGTAATTAAAATTACAATTAAAAATTTGACTAGCAAAAATAACTTTAATCAACATTAAACTTTTATCAAAATTTGGATAAATATTGCCTGTTTTAAAAACACATAAATTGAGATTTTTAGTGAAAATTTTATATTAAAAAACAATACAAATAAATCTGTATTTCAATCTAACGATTTGGTCTCCAAAAATTTTCAGTGTACTAAAAATCGAAAATTTTTTTTTGTGCTAAAATGATATTGCTTTGCACATTATATGGTACTAATAATATGTTTGCTACTTGTAACTACCATATCTAAAGTATTTTATTACATATACTTATATATGCATAAGATAGCTATTGGAAAAAAAAAAACACGTTTACTGTGGTTGTCCCTCACAAATATGAAAAAGTTTTTATTTAAGAACTTGATTTTGGTCGGTCAGATTTTATGGAAGTTATAAGCTATAGTGTTACGATCTGAATAATTTGTTCGGAGATTAAAACGTTACCTCTGACAATAAGCCATACCTTGCCAAGTTTCGTGAAGATTTCTCGTCAAATACCTATATTTAACTTCTTTTCAACAAAAATTATTTTAAAATAATCATATACAATTGAATGACAGAAGTAAAGTAAACCGGACGTCCGAAAATCTTTCTATAAGTGAAATGGGGGCTAAGTTAATTATTGATCCGATTCAAATCATTTTGACACACCGGCATGCTATTATCAGAAAAGGAATCTCTCAGAATTTCTCTAATATATCTCACAGATTTGCCGGTATTTTCTATAAAAAGTTCGAAACAGAAGTTGGGTTCCACATATTGGGTATGAGGGGGCTTGAATATTTGTAGTCCGACTTTGACAATTTTTGATCATGAAGTGGTCCAGAGGCCACTATTTGTGCAAAGTTTTATCCGGAATGATTCGTTCTTTATTTGTATACTGAAAATTGAAAGCATAAGATGGAATTTAAAACTGTGTTATATGGAAAGTGGGCGTGGTTTTTGTTTGATTTCGCTGGGTTTCATACTGTAACGTAGGATAATATTACCAGTCATTTGGTTATTTTAGCTTTAGTGGTTTAGGATAGACGTACATTAAACCTCATTATCCTAAATCAACCTGATATTTTATGTTTATATGTACAAATAACTTCATATTTACATACTTATGTCGATTGGTTTTAAGTGATACAAAGAAGCGTTAGGTGCACAAAACTATTATACTCTGTAGTAACTAATATTACAATAAAACAGAGAAAAATGTTAAATTATGGTAAATAAGGACCCGATATGTAGTATTGCATTTAGTTTCTAAAAAGTAAAAACCTTAAAGAAGTATTAAAATGAACCAAATATAAACTACCACTATTTGTTTTTTTATTATATAG